ACCATGTGGTTGCTGGAAATTGAACCCAGGACCTCTGGAAGAGCAGTCAGTGCTCTTAACCTCTGAGCCATCTCTCCAGCCCATACTTTTCTTTTTTTAATTAATTTTTATTTTATTTTATGTGTCTGTGTGAGGGTGTCAGATCTTGGAGTTACAGACAGCTGTGAGCTGTCATGTGGGTACTGGGAATTGAACCCGGGTCCTCTGGAAGAGCAGCCAATGCTCTTAACTGCTGAGCCGTCTCTCCAGCCCCCAAACTTTCCTTAATAGCTAGCATGCCTACTGTACCATAAGTTAAAACCTACTAGAGCTGGGAATATAGTTGTGCTGGTGGTGCACATTGATTCTCAGCGATGTATAAAACTGGGTGCGTGGTGATGCATAGGTCTCCCGTGGAGAGGCAGGAAACAGAGGCTCGAGGTTATTGTTGGCTATATACGGGTTTCAAGGCCCTGTGATGAGACCCTTTTAAAAACCAAAATCACCAAAGCAAACAAACAAACAAAAAACCTTACTCCCCACTTTTCATGTAGGTAACGCCATTGAAGGGTGTCTTAGTTTGTTCCTGTTGCTAATCAGTGCGGGCCAGATAGGGCAAGCCTTTAATCTCCGCATTTTTTGGAGGCAGAGGCAGGCAGATCTCTTGAGTTTAAGGCCAGCCTGGCTTACACAGTGAGTTTCAGGTGAGCGAGGGCTACATAGTGAGACACTTGGCATTTTCTCAACTGAGGCTTCCTCCTTTCAGACAACTCCAGCCTATGTCAAGTTGACATAAAAACCAGCCAGCACCGGTCCCATTCATGACGACAGAGCCCTGCTGACCGAACCACCTCCTAAAGACCTTGTCACAGGGAGGGCTGAGTCTGTGGGACACCAGCATTCAGACACAGCAGAGGACTGTCATCAGGGGAGTGGTGTGGCCCTGCCTGTCTGTAGGGAAAGTCTGTACTGACCTTGGGCAGGACCGAAAGGGGGAGCCAGTGGGCAGGAGACACAGATTCGGACACGATCAGACACAAACCGTGGCAGGAAGGGGAAGCTGACTTCTGTCAGGAGTCGGTGGCAGAGCCGTGGCCTGAAGGTCTAGCATATGTGTTTTGGGGTTTGGGAGTCAGATGCACAATGCTGTCCCTGAGAGGAAGCCAAGGATTACACTAGGAATAGGTGTGCATTTGCCCACAGGTGTGCATTTGCCCACAGGTGTGCATTTGCCCACAGGTGTGCAATTGCCCACAGGTGTGCATTTGCCCACAGGTGTGCATTTGCCCGCAGGTGTGCATTTGCCCGCAGGTGTGCATTTGCCCGCAGGTGTGCAATTGCCCACAGGTGTGCATTTGCCCACAGGTGTGCATTTGCCCACAGGTGTGAAGAGCTCTGCGGAGCCGGGCCTGGGAGCTGTCACTTCCTGCTTTCCCATGAGTACCTGTGCTGAAGTGAGGGGTAAGAGAATGCGTACTCCAGGTCTTAGGAGTGAGGTGCTGCTGCTCTGAGGAAAATCCTTCCGTCACTCCAACCGACCAATCAAGAGGCAGATGGCCCTTGGCCTCTGGATGGGACCAGACCATGAGACACCCATATCCAACACAAACTGTCCTGTCTCCTAGGAGTCATGTCGCTGAGCTGTGCTGGATCTGGATCGGGCCTGCTGCTAGAACCCTCCCTAGCGGGGCCCCTGCACTCGCCCATGAACATTGTTAGGCAACCTGAGCCATTAAGAAAACAAGCATCCCCTGCCCAGCCAGCTGCCCACCGGCTGTTCGCGGCCTCCTGCGAGCGAGCGGGCAGCGATGTCATGCAGCCGAGGCCCAGCCCCTCATTCCTGGTGGACCAGCGGGCCAGCGGAACCCCAGGCCTTGTCCTGCTCACCCCCACCCCCACCCCCAGGGCAGAAGCGGAGGCGGCATCCACAGAGCTATTCATCCTTGCCAGTTCTGGATCCTGACATAACTGCTTCATTGAGGCTCTAGAAGGCCCGAACTTCCACAGCGCTAGTGTTCCAACTTCCTGAGGGTACCCCAGGGTTTAAGCAGGTCTGTGAGGTCACAGGAGGTGATTGTGGGTTGGTGGGAGACTTGGCAAAGGGTTGTCCTATATAAGTGAGAAGAGGCTTTGTTCATCAGACATCCCCCGCTAATCCCACACTGTCCAGGTCCCTCCTCAGACCCAGCCCATCTCAGCCAGGGCAGCTGGAGCCAAGGAGCCTGGAAACCTGAACTCCCTGGGAACAAGACACCTGCTTCTGCAGAGGTTGCAGACGGAGTATAGATTTCCCAGGAGCAGATCCACAGGGCATTTGCGGGGAGGCACGAGGGGCAGGGGACATTCTGGAGTGCCAGAAGGCCTGCCGAAGGCTGCAGCAGATTGGAGGAAGAGAACAGATGCCAGACAAGGGGTGTGGCTTCTAAGGAGGTCGGGGAGAGCAGCAGAAGGCTGAGCTCTGGAGCTGTGCTGGGAAGGGAGGTTACTGTCCCCAGAAAACCCAGCCACTGCCAGTCTCCAGTGCAACTCACCTGCATCATCTCCTTCCTCACCAGTCCCTCGCTGTGACCTCCGAGACCAGCCAAGCACAGATCCTCCTGAGAGGCACAAAGGCCGTGTGGGATCCTAAAACACCGCTGTGTGTCCGGGCAACCACTAGGCCACCTTTGAGTCCAGAGATTTCCCACCACAAGGCTCGTGACCAGCAGAGGGCGTCACCATCCCACAGGGAGGCACCTAGGACTACCCAGCCTTCCCCGGAGACCCGAGGGGCGGGCGGGGAAGCAGGCAGGCATGGGGCGGTCTCCTGCAGCTGCCAGCTACAGCCTTCATCAAGAGCCCTGGCTTCCCCAGCCCATTCTGCGGAGGTCTCTCCTCTCTGGCTGCTGTTACCGGCAGCAGGGCTGGGACCACACACATCTTTTCCAGAACGTGAGGCCCCTTCCAGCTCTGAAATCCTAGGATTTGAGGAAATCATGCCAATGACTTTATAGAAATTGCCTCTTCTGGGTTCACACTCGCTCTGGGGTTCCCAGCACCTTCCTTCTTAGGGGAGAAACTTGGGCTCACTGTGCTGCTGGCTTCTCCCTGGGGGGCCGGAGGCTGCCGCACTTGCACAAACTGGGGGCATGGGGAGGGAAATCTGCCTCTGTGTCTGCCCGAAGGAGGTCTGTGTCAGCGGGGCTGCTGGGCAGACACTGACTAAGTAATCCTCGGGAGTAGGGAGCTGGCTCCTTCGCAGAAGAGGTTGTGCAGGGTCCTCTTGGGGAGGGTCCTTTCATGGATAAGCGCAGGAATGAATATAATAGAAACTCTTGGACCTTCTACCTTTATAACCCCCCCCCCCACACACACACACAGAGGCAGTCTGTCAGGGGCAGGCCACGGACGGTCCAGGGGTCCATTTGTGTTCGTGCTCTCAGTAGGGTCACGTTTCCCCACTAACACACACTCCCTTGGCCCCTCAACTAATGGCCGCTGGGTGGTTAAAGGGGGTGGTGGTGCGGGGAGAAAAGAATTAAGGTAGCTAGACCTTAGCTCTAAAGCCACCCCCACCCCACAAAGCATCCTGCCATCTGGACTTGCTCCGTTTCTGACTGTGGAGGAGCACCCCTCCCCTCCCACCTCCCTCTTCTATGGTGGGGGCGCAGGGGCCTGGGGGTGGGCAAGAGGCAGGGAGCTAGCCAGAGTGGTGAACCAAAACAGGCAGAAGACAGCTTCCTCTCCTGGCCTTCTGGCCTTTGCTTCCCCCTCACCTCCCCCCGCTCCCCCTCCCATGTGTCTTACGCAGCACGTGCACAGCATGCTGCCCCCTGCCCGACCAAGCTCCCCCTTACACCGGTGTCTAGCCAGCCCCTGGTACACAGTGGGGCTCAAACTCGGCTTGAAGAACTGAAGTCACCAGAGTAGGTAGGCCGGAGCCCTAGAACCAGGCTGCCCTGTTTGGGACCTCAGCTTGGCCTCTGAGTGGCCCTCCCAGCAAGGTGCTTTCTGCCTGGGTCTGTAAGGGACAACACCGGTACCCGCTTCACACGGCTGTTGTGATGCAGGTAAAGCACACACGTAATGGCGCGCGTCCGAACGTGGAGCCCCAGGCTCGCTCTGTGGTGGCTAGACACTGACCACTTCCCTCTCTCACTTCTTATTTGGGAATCACTGACGACAGACATGGGCTGGGTCATCCGCCTCTCCTGCAGCCTGGCAGCCATGGTAACCAGGAGTACGGGGAACGGTGGTGTCTAAGTCAGGATTAGAGAATGGCTCATCACCGCCATGCCCCAACACTGAGCACCTTCTCTGGGCGTATTCCGAGCCCCACGTGGGGAAAGGGAGCCTGAACTCCAGCATGGGATGGGGGTGGGGGGGACGACTCCAAATTAAATCTTCTACTTGCAGGTTTCCACAGTCTGCCTTCCCCCTGGCTTTGGGAAAGGAAGGTAGCCTTAGTTAGCTCCTCTAGGATGCAGGTGGTCGGTGAAACCCTCAGCCCCTCTGTCTGCGAGGTCTGTTCAGAGATTTCTCCCTGTTCCTTCCTCAGAAACCACAACCCTGCCCCCATGCATGCCCGCCCCCCACTCCCCGGTCCAGGACCTCCTGCAGTCTCCCCACCGCGTCTGCAGTCTGACCCCCCCGCCCCACACCTTCCCCGGATCTCAAAGCTTCCCTCAGCTCATTTGCCAAGACTCCTCACTGCGACCCCCATCTCCACGAACCACTAAAGTCATCGTTCGTTCATTTCCCAAACTTCTGCTCTCCACCAACGCGCCCTCACGGACTGCTTCCAGGTAGCACGCAAAACCCTGCTCGCCCCAGATGTCCCGTCCCTCCCGCTGCCGTGGGCGCCTAGGTTTCCCCCACGGAGCGCCCGAGTCCCCCCAAGAGTTTCCCGAGCCCGGCGGTCCGCGGCGCGCTGTGGGCGGGGCTCGCCATCGCGGGGTCCCCCCCCTTCTCCCCGGGGGGAGGGAGGGGGCGGTGCCAGCGTGTCGGGGGGCGAGGCCACCGGAGGCCGCTCCCCCACGCCTCTCGGGAGTCTATAAAGCCCGGCTACACGCGGCCCGCTCGGCTGGACTCCCCCAGCCGAAGCCAGCCCCGCCGAGCCGAGCGGAGCGAGCGCAGCCCCCCGAGGGGCGCCGGGCGCCGGAGCCATGACCCTCCGCCGACTCAGGAAGCTGCAGCAGAAGGAGGAGGCGGCGGCCGCTCCGGACCCCGCTGGCCGGGCTCCCGACTCGGAAGCGGCTCGTGCCGCGCCGGCCCCGGCTCCGGCCCCCGCGGGCCCCCCAGCTGCCGCCGCTCCGCCTGGAGCCAACCCGGGAGACGAGCTGTACGCGGCGCTGGAGGACTACCACCCGGCGGAGCTGTACCGTGCGCTCGCGGTGTCCGGGGGCACCCTGCCCCGCCGAAAGGTGCGTCCCCTACTTAACCTGCGTCCCCAGACTCGGTACCCTGGGTCCCTTCGGCAGGATCTGCTCCGCCGCAGCAGCGCCTGATGACTGCCACATTTCAGCACACCCCATCCCACTCCACCCCCCCGACCCTGGGCCACCCGCCTGGCTCGGCCCTGTCCCCACAAAGGCGCAAACCTACCCACTCCCAGCTCGGAAAGCTGTGGTCCCCGCCACCACGACGCCCCCGGTTCGGCTGGCTCTCCACTCCACTGCGCTCCCCACGCGCAGACGCCCCACCTCCTCCCACTCTCCGGCCTTGACTCCGCCCCAGCACCCCCTTTCTCCGGCTCGCTCCATCTGGCTTTCTGCCGCCTCCCGCTCAGCCTGCCGGTGTCCAGAAGTCTAGAACTCCCAGGACCCCCCCCCCCCCGCCCAAGCACCTCCTGAAGTTGGAGCAGGAAAGGCTAAGGAAGGAATTCTGCCACTTGCCTCAGACAAGTTGAGGGTCCCGGAGCCCTGGGCGTGAGAGAAGCTAATGGCCCGGTGGAAGCAGTGCCGCGAATTCCCGAGAACACCCCCTCCGTTAGGACGCCGGCCTTCCTGGGCTCAGGCCCTCACTCTTGGTCCCGCATCTGAGATGCGGGCTGCGAGAGCGCGGCCCTCTTGAGTTCAGCCAGGACCGGACGCGGTGGGAGAGGTCACAGGGCAGGAAGGATGCCGGCCGCACCCGCTCTCTGCGTGTCCCCGTTAGTGGGAGGCTGTTCCTCTGGCCTGGGAGGACCTGAGTGCTCAGACCCAAGACCCAGGTTAAGGAGAAGGGATGGGCAGCCTTTCCACGCGGCCCCCTCCTTCTCTCCTAGGTCCCCGGCTCCCCACTACACACAATGAACAGCTTGTTGAGAATTTGCATTTTATGAAAATCGGGTTGAAAAACAAAGGGGTCTCTCTGTGCTGCCCAGTGCTTCCTCCTTGGCCCATTTGGGTACTGTCCCCACCCTGAGGCTAATCTTTGGTTCTGGAGGAAGAGGGTCCACTTCTCCTTGCTTTGAGGCATCTTGGCGGTTAGAGAGTATTAGCCAGAACACAACCCAGGAAGGCCTCAAGTTGTTTTGGCACTTTGGGAAAGGGCTGGTCCCGGATGGAACTTCCTCCAAGAACTAAAAATCTTAGGAGGCACAGAGATTGTTTTAGGCTTTCTAGAGCCCTAAAGAGTTAGGGGCATTCTCCTCCAAAAAAGAGCCCCCAGTTTCTCAACTATAGTGTGAGGCAAGTTTGACTCGGATTTTTTGTTTATTTAGTTATATACTTTGTCTCAGAAAAAAAAAAATGCACAGCCATATCGGGAGACTCAGGTCTGGAGGACGTGGCCAGCTGCAGCTGGAGTCCACAGCCAGCCCCCAGGCATCCTGTCCTTAGGAGCTTTGACCCTCTACCACCTTCTGGCTGGCGTTGACAGCCTCCTGCCCGGGCCCCTGACTCTCTGCTCTCCCAGACTACTGTCTGCCTGAACTAATGGGCAGACCCAGCTGGCAGGGACCCTGGAGTTAGTACCTTAAGCCCAGTGGCTTTTCCTACCCTTCTTTCTCTTCAATTAGGGGAAAGCTCCTGCCTCAGCTTTTGGAGCCTGGAAGGCCAGGGCTGTCAGACGTGATCCCAGTGGTGAAGATCATTCTAGAGTCACAGACTTCCCCAAGCTAACCAGTAGAGGTTAAAGTTCACCCATCTAAGGGCTGGAGAGATGGCTCAGCAGTTAAGAGCACTGACTGCTCTTCCATAGGACCCGGGTTCAATTCCCAGCAACCACATGGTGGCTCACAACTGTCTGTAACTCCAAGATCTGACACCCTCACACAGACATGCATGCAGGCAAAACACCAATGCACATAAAATAAAAATAAATGAATTACTAAAAAAAAAAAAAGAGAGAGAGAGTTCGCCCGTCTAGAGCTCAGGACAGATGTGCCCTGGAGGTCCGGAGGTCCCAGGGGTGGTGTGAACTCTGGGAGTGGTGGTAGTGGCTACACTTGGCACATAGTCACACCAGCAAAGCAGAGGTGGAGCTGGTAGGGAAGACAGGCATCAGGAAGTGGGGTGCTGTGTCCAGAGCTGGGGCTCAGGTCAGAGTCCCCCTAGAGAGAGCTTCTCAGCACCCCTTCAAGGATGGCACCCTCTCATTGTCTTCTGGCCATTTTCCCACCAAGGGCTCAGGATTCCGTCGGAAGAATTTCAGCCAGAGTCCTGAACAGCAGCGGTGAGTCACCCCCACCCAAAGCCCCTGCTGTGGTCCAGAAAAGTGAGGTGCTGGGGGGAGGGGGCCCCACACAGCATCTCAGCCCAGCCCCCCTGGGAGGCATCTCCCATCCTGGAGCATGAGTTCCCTGCTGGGATTGAGGGGCAGGTGGGGGTGTGGGCTGTATGAAGGGGCGGCAGAATAAGGGGGGGCACTTTTGAGTCATTAGGTGCTCCTTAACCACCCCCAATCTCTGTCAGTTGCCTCTTCCTGGGAAGAAGAGCTGGATTAGTGAGAGGTGGAGGGTGGGAAGTAGGAGGCACCATGGGAGTGTCCTCATGTCCTCTGTGGCTTCCCTAAGCCCAACCCAGCCCACCTCGGTGGACCCAGACACTCTATAACCAGATGTTTGAGTCTGACACCCCAACCTTTAGTCCCGTGTGGGTCCAATCACGTGGTCTGCACTTGGATCTGAGATGTGGACAGGGCTAGGTGCTCACCCTAGACCTGGAGCTCAGGTTCCCTTTTGCCCACATCTCATGCCTGATTCGGGCCTGGCTTCCTTTGAAATGGGCCAGCAAACGGTTGCCCACTGGCCAGATGGGGCTGTTTGACTCTTCCACTAAGAAAATATATATGCACACACTTACAAACTTACTTTAATTTTTTTTTTTTTGGCTTTGTTTTTCTTGTTCTTTTGAGACAGAGTCTCTCTATAGACCCTTGCCTGGAACTGTCCTGGAACTCATTACGTAGACCAGGCTGTCTTTGAATTCACAGAGATGCCCCTGCCTCCACCTCCCAGGTGCTGGGATTAAAGGCGTACACCACCATGCCCGGCTTATTTTAATATTTTAAAGGGTTGTAAAAACAAAGAATAATACATGACAGAGGCCATATGGGGCCCACAAAACCTGAAATATTTACCATCTGGCTCTGTGCAGTAAAAGTTTGCAGACCCTTCCAGGAACCCAGAAAGCACTGGGGCAGACACAGGCCTTCCAGGCCCCTGCTCCTGCCCCAGAAAACACAGGGCTAAAAGCTCCTTTCAAAGAAGGGGAGTGTGCCGCACAGCACTAGGTGGCAGGGGGTGTGACTCAGGCTAGGGGCTGGATGGAGGCCTGCTCTCCAGGGCCCTTTGGAGGCTGCCAGACTCAAAGAGGCCTTAGGAGCCACTTTATTCTGCCTCTGGCTGGCGGGAAGGAAGGGAGGGGGTGGGCAGAGGAAACTCTGGGCTCCCCCAGCAGGCTAGGATCTGGAGCGGTTCCAGACCATTGTGTCCTGCAGGCAGCCTTCAGTTCGGGAAGGGGTGGCCCCAGGCTCCCCTCCCCCAGCCTTCACATCTGGTGGGCTGGCCACACCACAGCTGGGAGGAGCCGCTGTGGTCTGCGCCCAGCCTCGTGACTGGCCCCTGGGGGTGGGGCTGTCTTCTCCCCAAAGCAGAGGAGCCAGGATGCTCCAACCCTGGGGCCAAATTGGGGGCCTCAGTGAGTGAGTGGGTCTATGGCCAGGCTCACCCGAAGGCTAGGGTGCTGCTAGGCTCGTCCTTTCTCAGGGCCAGCCTTTCCTGATGCCTCCCTCCCCTCAGAGGAGGCTGTTTTAATTCTGTGCAGCTCCCTGAGGCCAATTTCATTTGGGTTTGGGAAGGGCATTCCAAAAATCTGTGAAGAATGAGCTGTCGCCGGAGACTCTGGGTCCTTCTGGAATGTTCTAGATCAGACTTCTACATCCTTGAGAGCTAAGCCGTGGGGCTGCCACACTCCTGTTTTTGTTACTGTATTTTTAGACAGGGCCTCACTATGTAGCTCATACTCAAATGGGACATCCTCCTGCCTCAGTCTCTCAAGTGCCAGGGTTATAGATATGGACCACCATAGCCAGCTCTTCCATACTTTCCTGACTTCTCGTAATCTCGACCCCGGTGTCTTCTGCAGGAAGGTGCTGACTTTGGAGAAGACAGACAACCAGACCTTCGGCTTTGAAATCCAGGTAGGAAAAGCTGGGCACAGAGGGGTGAGGAGTCAGGAGGCCAGTCCGGAGGGTGGGCCGAGCTACATGCCTCTGTTTCGAGTGTCCCCTTGCTTATTCCCAGACTTACGGCCTTCACCACCGGGAGGAGCAGCGTGTAGAGATGGTGACTTTCGTCTGCCGAGTTCACGAGTCCAGCCCTGCCCAGCTGGCTGGGCTCACACCAGGTAGACCCTGAACCCAGAATACAGGGCTCTGGGACAGGGTATATAACTTTACTCCTAAGCAGAGGCATACTTTTTTTTCCTCCTTCATTCTCCAACTTGGAGAAAGCCAGAAGAATGAACAGAATCTGGACTCTGGATTCAGGCACACTGGCCATTTAGTGTGGGACCCTGTGTAGTTCTTTTGCAAAACGAGACAGACCACAGTGTGGTGAGGTGGTTCCCTGGGCACAGAGCGGCTGGGCAGTCCAGCTGGGCAGAAAGAATCTGGTCGAGAGACTCTTCCAGGTCTGCCTCAAAAGGGTCCACGAGGACCTATCTTCCCGCTCCTGCTGGGGCACCCGCGCTATGTCCTTTATCGAGGTAATGACGCTCCAGCGGGAGACCCTGAAATTAGGGTCCCAGTCAGGGGCGGCCTGAGACTACATGAGTCCACACCCATTTGGTTAGCAGCACAGTTGCTAAAGCCCTTACCTCCCTGCCCACACACCAGCAACACTTTGCTGGGTAGTTCCTGATTATCCTTGATGTAGCCAAAGCCAGGATCCCAAACAAGCCCTTAAAGTCTCCAGCATGCCCTGCCTAGGGTCAGGGCCTGACCTCCAAAAGCTGAAGCTTCGAATGCCTGGAGCCGGTGCCAGCTCCCAGCTGGGCACTGACCCTGTGCCTTCCCTGTGTTGAATGGGTCTTATGACAGATGTAGGTTAAACAGAAGTAGCTAACTCCAGGGGGAGCATGGGAATCTGGGAGGGTTCCATGGGGGACAGAACTTCCTGAGGGTGCGCCTGATAACTTAGTTCTTCTCTTCCCCAATCCCCACACCTTGCCTAGATTGCTCTGTCCAGACAAGTTGGTGGTTTCTGTGCAGGGAGAAATGCCTATGGTTTTGTGTTTGTTGTTTGTTTGTTTTTTGAGACAGGGTTTCTCTGTGTAGCCCTGGCTGTCCTAGAACTCACTCTGTAGCCCAGGCTGGCCTCGAACTCACAGAGATCCGCCTGCCTCTGCCTCCCGGGTGCTGGGATTAAAGGCGTGTGCCCCCAAGCCCAGCTAGGTTCTGTGTATTTTGAGTGGGGTGAATGAGATGTCCAGGTCTCCCCAGCCCTGTGGAAGGGAGGTCCAGGAGCAGTTCTCCAGGTTACCGTTCTGCCCTTCCCGGCTGGAGCCCTTCCTTCATGCCCTGGGAAACGGGTGCTGACTCTTTCTCTTGCTGGCAGGGGACACCATCGCCAGCGTCAACGGTCTCAATGTGGAAGGCATCCGGCACCGAGAGATTGTTGATATCATCAAGGCATCCGGCAACGTTCTCAGGTACCTATGTCTAGGTGCAGTGCCCAAGGGCTCCTGAGCTCAGCCTGTGGCGTCCCCTCGGCCTTTCAGGCTTGCTCAGCGTTTGTCCCCTCGATCCTTCAGACTGGAAACTCTGTATGGGACGTCCATTCGGAAGGCAGAACTGGAGGCGCGCCTGCAGTACCTTAAGGTGGGGACCAAGCAAGCCCGGGTTCTCCCCCATGCTTCCCATTCCCTGGCCTCCAGGCCCGCTCCTGCTCCTTCAAGGACTCCTTCATCTTTCTCAACCCCGCTTAGCCCTCGGGCTTCTGTGCCTTTTCCCCCCTGACCCATGTGTCCCCACATCCTGCTGGTGTCCTGCTGACAGCCGGCCGCCCGTGTCTTCCAGCAAACCCTGTATGAGAAGTGGGGAGAGTACCGATCGCTGATGGTTCAGGAGCAGCGCCTAGTACATGGTGAGTGGGCCGGATGTCGTCCCCACAGACGCCCCCATCCATTCTCCTCCCCTCTCAGAACTAGCAGGCTGCTGCGCTTCACAGTGAAGAGTCCCAGCTCCTGCTTTGGACGCTACATTGTTGCCCTTAGCCGATACACAGTGTTGCTCTCTCAGTGGCTCTCTGGAGGTTAGGACTGAGCACTGCCATTTGGCACATGCCTTTAATCCCAACACTTGGAGGCAGGGGCAAGGGGGGTGCGGTGGGTGGGTGGGGGGTCTCTGCGAGTTCCAGGCTAGCCTGGTCTACATTACTGAGTCCCGGGACAGCCAGGGCTAAGTGGAGAGACCCTGTCTCCGAAAAAGAAAAAGAAGAAGGCTGTGTGTGCCCTTCTGTCCTAAGTGGCACTCTTGAGTTTATTAACTCCAGGTTTAGAGCCAGAAAGGCTGGGCTCAGGGCCCACGTAGGTGGCCAACAGGAAAGAACCGAGTATCCGGCCCATGCCCCCTGACCCTCGGCCTAGGGCTCTGTAGCCCCAGGATTCAGGAGCTCCCTGGACTTCTGTCCCCACAGGCCTGGTGGTGAAGGACCCAAGCATCTATGACACACTGGAGTCGGTGCGCTCCTGCCTCTACGGCGCTGGCCTGCTCCCTGGCTCGCTGCCCTTTGGGCCGCTCCTCGCTGCGCCTGGGGGTCCCCGCGGGAGCGCGCGGCGCGCCAAGGGGGACGCCGACGACGCCGTGTACCACACTTGCTTCTTCGGGG